TCGGTTTTAACACCTACTTATATAAACGTTTTGTCTGGAAATCATGGTAACATTGCCTCAACTGAAAGTAATTAGTCAATACAGAAAAGTAACAGAAAGACCACTTTATAACAGTTAGCATCGAGTTTCTTCATCGTTGCCGTGGGTACGTTAGTGTATATTCTTTCACTCGTTAAAGGGCGGTGGTCGCCGCGTCGCGCCGTGCTCGATATGAGAGTCACAGCGACGCGTACAGCGCGTGTAAACACATTGTATATTCACACAAAACTTCGGACACATGCCACGCGACGAGCACTTCCTTCAATATAATTGCTTCTCGCGTCCTACACTTCCAATGTTCTATTTATGTGGAGAGCAGAACAGGTGTTAATTAAGCTACACAAAACGCATTATTGCAGTGTTTAAGTAGAGTGGTGGCGGTTCTTGACATATTGATGTAACTGGCAGATTCTTGGCACGATCAGAGGATTCATCACAACGTGATGAAGTGTGAACAAGTACTTTTCGCGCATGTCATTTTCGTAGATTGGAATTAAAACATTTCAATTTTTAGTGACTTTCAATTCAAATTAACGAAAAACACACTATAAACAAAACTTTAAGTAGTTAAGTTAGATAAATCAAAGTAGCATTGCATAGAATAGAATAGAATAAAATATAAAAACATGTTTTTTTTGTATTTAGAAAAAAAATTCTTTCTTCCAGTTATATATTGTTACTACGAAAACTGGTCAATTGTTTCTCTGTTTAATAGAAGAAAAAAAACAGGAACTGCATGTCACATACATTTTGTGAAGTTGATTTTAAAAAACGACAAGTTATGTGACGTCATCTTATGGTAGTACAACGAACCTCTGTATATCATTGATACTTATACACTATACATTATTATACTACAATTTGAGAAACGACCAATTCTATTTACAGAACGTTTCAATGAGACGCCACCTTAGCTGAAAGTGTAGATTGCCCCCATAATCGCAGCCAGCATGTAACTATTTACAAATGACTTCACTCAATGACAGGAAAATAGTTTATTAGACAGTCGCCTTTATTTATATCTGCAGTGGATTTCAAAGTGAGTGTGTTCTACGCTAGCACAATAATATTAGTAATCTAGTTGATATTTAAATAAATTAATCAAAACCGTCAAATCTAGTCAGTGCACAGACACCACTATTTCAGAATTATCCATCATTTGTATTTATACACTTCGTAGAAAGACTCCACATTTTTCATCGTCAATTGGGGAATTTCAATTTTTAATTAAATTGATTTCTTGTATCTTTTTCTTATGTTTGGGTACGCGGATAAGAGTAAACTTGGGCATATCTAGGTATCGATATGAATTGAGGAATACAGCTTATAATACGAGAACTGTTGGCTCTTCTAAAATACATGTGTCATCTCCGAGGAATTCATTAGTGTGATTGCACTTTTACTAGGCGGTACTTTTTACTTTTTCTTAAGAATCTTGAAAATCAGGATGCTTACATTCCATCATAACCGCCCGAGGAATAACTTGGAATCATGTTTTGAGACCAGGGTACTAAGATCAAAATCGAAGAAATTGCATCTCAAGAAACTGAAGACGAATAAACTGATATGCAGAAGACAGTAGAAGTGGCTTGGCAATGTACTGCGTATGAATGATGTGAATGAGGCCTGGGATGGTACTACGGGATGGTAAAAGAACACAAGGCAGACTATGAATGAAATGGGAGAGAACTATAATACAAGGGGTGGATATTGTGGAATAAAAGTGCCTATTAACAGGGATACAGGCACGTCTAAAATATATTTTCGAACGAATGAACGCACGTACGTACGGACACACAGACGCACGCAATAAGTCAACCCGAACGGGAACTACTATTTACACACTAATAGCATTGGATTAAAATAATGAATTCACTTGATTGTTAATGTACGTCGTAGATTATCGTCGTATCGGTTACTTCTGTACATACCTCTTTTACTTCTATTATCGGTTAGTTTTGGCGCGCGTTTATGAAAATGGCGAGTGGTTCAGGAAATTATATTACACAGTGATCATGACATTAACTACATACAACAAACAACACATATATCGGTCGTTGGTTTCAAAAACAAACAAAAACATTTTCGTTAGATTGATGCGCTTGATTTATGTTACAGATCTAGTTGATTGATTTTTGAGTTGCAATCACGTGACCAAAAAGCGCGTCCAACAAACACCGCCACCATCTTGGCGTGCATACATACGTACATAGCTAGGGCAACAAGAAGCAGTCACGTCGATCGAGAGTTCTCAGAATAATTTAAAACATTGGATGGCGTTTCCCGTTCACGATAATTGGAAAAAACTGTACTTTGTGAGGCTTTAGTATAGTAAACATTGCCCCGAATCGCCCCCCCCCCCAAATCAAGCTGAAACCTTTTGTGTCAACAAAATTTGCCCTTCAAAATGCAGGAAACAGCATTTCAGAAGATCTGGATCAGAACCCCCCCCCCCCCCCCCATAGCAAAATTTCGTGCCGCCACCTCTGTGTTTGATATTAATATTAAGGCAACTGCTGAATAAATGAACCTTGGCTGGCGAAGATGTATAATAAGTGGATAAAAGAAATAAAGTCAATGTTAAGAAGTGTTTTCACTGAGCTAAAATATATTGATTTTCCACTACTTTATAGTGACTAGCGAACAGTTTTAGTCTAGAATTCAACACTTCCGAGACTAAGTCACGCTTATCTACCTTAGTGCCTATGTTCTATTGTAATGAACAAGTGAAGGTTCCCTGTATTTGGAGGTCAACTTATTTGTTCGTGAATGACCTGTTAGCGGCTCATCTGACCACCACATTTGTACTAACATCGCATTTCTGGTTGTCATCACCGTTCTGCTCTATCAGCGCGGATAATATACCTCGCGTATCGTAGTTCCACCAACAAAAAACATCGATAGTATTATCTTCAAACTTACCCTATTAGAAACCCCCGGACTATCAGAGAGACTTAGCGGAAGTGCATCAGTGGTGAAATAGCCGGAAATCGCTGCTTCCATTTCCTGTAATGTACAGTCTATTGGACTATCGGGGTCTTCTTGTTTCCACCAATCAGAACTGTACCAACCTACAGCATAAATTTGCATATGACTCACATTTAGACACACACACCATGTAGTACTCCAAATCAATTGTTACCGTCCAGAGGCATCAACTTAAAAAGTAAGTTATAACCTATAAACCCCATTAATGATTTTATCCACAGGTATTGTATATTGTGTTTCCTGTCAACGAGGTCAAAGGTTGTTTTTCTTTCTGTTCTCTGAAACACGGTTACTAGAAGAAGTTGTAACCGTGTCTGAAACTATTAATTAGTACAGTATTGCATACTAATTCTAAGCAATGAAATCACCATTGCACGTCAAATCGTTCATGAAGACAGACATTAATGTCGAATTGAGACTCAATAGCGTTATTTCAGGAACGCTATGGTTGTTTCTTGTTGGGACATTAAATTCACTCAGTCTAGTCCTCTCAAAGTAATTCAAAACGAGAGTGACTTCCTTTTCTTAATGACTTTATAGTTCGTGTTTCATTTGTGTTTTATCTGAATTTGATGCATAAATAATTTCAGTACGCATTGCATAATCACGTCATTCAAACGTGAAGTTCCCTTACCTGTAATTATCCACACATACTTAGCACCATACATTCCTTCCTTGTAAGCTTGACAGAACACTTGGCGAGCTTTATTTTCGTAAAAGTTACCAATGATTATTCGTGCGCCTTGTTTCTGAAAGAAAAGTTTACAATGAATAATATTAAAAATGACATAACTATCACACTGTAGTATCGTTGTCATATATAAATTCATATATGTGCTATTGATATGCAAATACGCTAATTACTATTCATATATTCACACCACAATTATTCTGCACTATACCAATTGCCAACTGTCCAATCATTGACAATTAAACAATTCACATGCCATGACTACAATGCTGTCTATAATATCTTTAATAACAGTATGCAAATTAACTAGCATTTGGGGACATATTTGCGTGAAATATAATCTTTGCCTTACGCGATGTAATAAATGAATGAGAGTTACTATATATGCAAATGAGATACACAATATGCATAGTTTTAGGCAAAGGAAATAAACAGATATATATGTGTACCAAAATTCATTGCAATGAGAATTACCATACAAAGCAACATATCTTCAATTGGACAATGAGTGTCGATTGCATTCAAATCACGCATGTTGATATACCCATATGTGGTGACCTATCAATGCTAATCACCAATGTAAGCCAGTTTAATAGATGCAGTCTTCCGACGTCTGAGAACAGAAATGATGAATAGTGCCCAAGTTGAAGAACCAATTAACCGACGTGATCATTGACGTTGATCTTCAATTTCTAAGTCATCCTAAAATGACTTATTCATACGAAGAAACATCAAAGACGGCGACCCCTAATAGGTATTCAGCCCCACAAGTCAAGTCATACAATGGACATTGAAATTATATAGATTATTATCCAGTTTCCAGTTCTCTTGTTGCTAGGGGGTGCGCAGTATCGATTCCGCGTTTGTGAGATCGTTTGATACAAGTTTAATAGACAAATTGATATGTTTTGTACTTTTTTTGCATTGCTACAGTTGTGTGTATGAATACAAAACATGTTTCTCATATTTTACAAACATTCGTTAACTCCCAAAGGCAACCTCCATGCATAAAATACAACATCACTATAATCGGTGCAATATTTAAACTGTCATTTTTTTTGGCAATTCTGACACTGACCAGCTCACAGCTTAACATCTACTGAAAAGTTATTGGTTCTGCACGATCAATGTGATGATTTACTATCACTCACCTTCAAGTTCGACACTTGCACTGATGGGTCATTTGCAAAGCTTTCCGACGTCAATATTTCGATATCATTCTCTTCAGCGTTGTCAAGAAAGTCTGCCATAGCCTACACAAGAAACAGTGGATGATATAATTTTCATAAATAACTGTACGCCAAATCAAAGTATTACATGTCTTTGGATATGTTACACCCGCGTTCTCTGTCATTGACGTTACGATAGAAACACGATGTATGTCAGATAATATTTGGCTCTTAGTAACTAAATTGTCTGAGTATCTAATAGCTAGATGTTTGAGCAAAGGCTTTCTCGTTAGCAATAACAACGCTCTACCAAGTAAACTACACTACCAAGTAAACACTAATTACGATACATTTCCAAAAATGATTTTCAGAGATATTTTGTACTTTTCATGATATTACACATCGTCATTTATGCTGATTGTTCCTAGACGTGGTATAGCAGTTTCCGGAAGTGGCTCATCCACCTCGGCTTAAGCATGCCTTTATCTATATTATACGTATTGAATTAAATGGTCCGCCGTAATTATAAGCTAAGTAGCACACGATGTTAGATAGATCAATTATAAGTATTAGAATATCGTTTTGTAGATAAGCCGCACAGCTTACAATGGATTATATTCGACGTAATAGGGTGGCCATAGGTACAATAATAATAATAATAACAATAATAATAACAATAATAATAATAATAATAACTTTATTGCATCCTTAGAAATACAATGTTTCTATCAGTTAATAGCGATAAAGATTAGTTGTGATAACTACTACTACAAAAAGAAA